CGCTTCGGAGCATCTACTCATGTCGGATTGCGGGGATTAGATTTGCGGGGGGGGGGGGGGGGGTGAGAACAGGAGATAATCGCCAAGGGAGAGAGGGGGAGAGGGGGAGAAGGAGGGGTCAAGTGGGCGAAGGGCGAGCACACGAACATTGAGGCGACTTGAATTGCTATCCAGCAGCTTGGATAGATTATCCACCGAGAGAGAGGCCTGCTGGCAGTACATGACTCGGTGTTTTTCCACCTGCTCAATGTAGGAAGAAGTCTGGCCAAGGGTGGAAGGCATGTAAGAAAGATGGACAGAGGGGAGACCGGGGCATGGAGCTCCACGCAAGGCAAAGTGGGAGAACGCGTGACGAACCTTCTTCACAATGTCCGTCAGGATCGGCGATTCGAGGTGCTGGAGATCCTCGGCCGAAGCCAGGAGGAGCTCCTGCGACAGGAGACGCTCAATGGAGCAGAGCTCTGCCAGGTTGGGCAGTGGCCGGGCAGGGAGAGGCGTGGGGGGAGGGGAGGGGGGGGGGGCAGAGGGAAGGGATGTTAGCCTCTGGTCGGATGCCGGGAGAAGAGCACATGCTCAGGCACACCATTCTGCAGCTCCTTTTGCCGGCTAATCAGCAGACATATCCGGTTGAGGCGCTCGTGTGAAGAACGAGCGCGTGCCGTCGATACAGATAACTCGGCCTGAAATTGCGGCGTATAATTCAGGTGGTCTGCTATTGGGATCTCGGGCTGCATGGCGGGGCGAGGCGCGGATGCGGGCAAGAGCACACAGGGTGGGCCAGGGGGGCCGAGTGGCGATGCGGGTGGGCGGCGCGCGGGCGAGGAAGGCGCAAGAGGGGAAGGGGGGAAGGGATAGGCGACAGCAAAAAGAGGAAGGACGGGGGGGAGGAGGGGAGGGGAGGGGAAGGGGAGTAGTCAGCGGCTATCCAGCCGCGGGACTGATTCCCCCGCCGAAATGCCGAGGTGCGCCCGATCAAATCAACACCCCTACAACCGGCAAAGATAGCCCGAGCCAGATGGCCAGGGAAAAGAGATGACGCGTGCCCCAGATGCTCCTGCTTCGCCCCCCTCATCCCCTGCATAGGCAGGTGAATGGGGGGACTATGCCATCACTCGCTCTCGGGAGGGGGGGGGGGG